TAAGCTGTTAGCCCCTGGCCAGGAGATTTGTTATCTTCTTAGTCATTTCAAAAGCCTTTTAGTGAGAGAAGGGGAGAAGTGGAGGAGGGGAAGAAGGAGGGAATTTTTCTGTGTGTGTGTCTGTGAGTCAGCAAAAGCCGGAAGCCTTACAAAACTACTTCAAACAACAAGCTGGAAAGCGTATTCAAACAATACGCTTCCACCCCCAGACAGTGAGAAATTGCATTATCCTAAGGGATCATGGCCACCCGTGTTCAGTGCAGATAAGTGAGAACCTTCCGTGCTCTGGCCAAGCGGAGACCTGCAGCCACAGCTGCTCAGAGAAACTCTGGGTGGCCTCCATTCCAGCCGCTCCAAATGGTTTCAGGGCAAAAACACTGCAGCTGGGTGGTGCTTAGAAGCGCAAGGGGGTGGGAGGAGAGGCTGACAGAGTGGAGGGTGGCAAGTTGCATCTCCCCACCAGGTGCTCTAAATCCCCTCCCGGGGCTTAGGAAAATCACACGGAGGTCTCGAGGCTGATTCCGAAGGCAGCTGTGTCAGAGTCTGCCTCACCACCAACCCACAGCCATAAACTGAAACGGTGCCTCCGAGAACGCAGAAACTGCGGAAATTTCCCTGACAGGCAGTTCTTAGTGCTCTAGGAGCAACAGTCTAATTAATGCCACTTGGCCAAAGAGAGGGACATTCCAAATTCGGTCAGAAAGAAGAAAGAAGCCTTGCCACCCACCCTCACCGCAGACACAGAGCTCTTTGAAACAGTCCCTTTCAAGACTCAGGCAACTCTGTTTGATCAACTTACATTTTTTTGAATTTAAAATTTTACTGCAAATGTATTAACTGTCCTCTGAGTGAAAAAAATCATCTTAACATTTTAGGAAAAGTATATGAAAGTTACAGTATGAGCTCACTTTGGGGACACTGTCACTTGCATGGAAGAATAATCTAAAGAAAAAACAATTATTTCACTTATTAATGACTACCTGCTGTCCAATGTTATAGTATTTCTTACATTTCCAGGTTGTCACAGGTTATATTTTTAAATGTTTTTCCCATCTACAGCTAATATCTATATGGTATGTTTGACTGACAAGAAAGTTAGTCATAAAGTATCAGATACTGCCCAGTGGGGCAGTGGTTAAGTTCACAGATTCCGCTTGGGCAGCCTGGGGTTCGCAGGTTCGGATCCCGGGTGCGGACATGGCACTGCTTTATCAAGCCATGCTGCGGTAAGCATCCCACATACAAAGTGGAGGAAGATGGGCACAGATGTTAGCTCAGGGCCAATCTTCCTCCAAAAAAAAAAAAGGTATCAGATAAGTTGATAATGCAGAAGTCTCATATATTTGCATGTAGTCCCCAGACCAAATAACCCCTTTGCAGAACCCAGTTTTGTGTATAGATTCTTTTGAAAGAATATAAAATTTTTGATCGTAACACACAAGTGAGTATGTGTGTCACAAATGAGAAGGGATACAAAAGATAGAAAAATTAATACTAAAATTGCAGCACTGGTTACCATGAGTGCTGACAATAATAGTTCATGCAAAATCAAAATGAGTATAGATGTTAAAAATTAAAATTAAGGGGCCGGCCCAGTAGCATCGTGGTTAAGTTTGCATGTTCCACTTCAACAGCCGGGGTTCATGGGTTCAGATCCTGGGCGAAGACCCACACACCGCTCATCAAACCATGCTGTGGTGGCATCCCACATATAAAATAGAGAAAGATTGGCACAGATGTTAGCTCAGAGCCAATCTTCCTTACACACACACACACACACACACAAAATTAAAATGAAGTCATCTGGCATCTAGATCACTGAAAGAGAAGTTGAAAGACTGGAGAGACATCTTCCATTCGGCCCTTGATGTGCTGTAGGGCCTACATCAAGTTGTGCCCTGCCTCTGTTATAACTGCAAAATGGAGATAACACTTCACGCCACCCTACCTCAGAGAGCTGCTAGAAGATTAGATATCAAAAAGGAAAATCCTCAAAGCCCTGTGAGTTCCTCATGAACAGAAGACATGCAATGTAATAAAATACCAGCACCTTCTACAAAACTCCTAAGAGGCTCAAGGATCTAGAAATAGGAAATGGACACCAGCAATGCAACATGGCAGACACCTCACAGGGCACAACACTGACGATCAGGGAGGCGGGGGGCAATTCTGTCCTCACCTTCCAATGAAAAGGGGGAGGAAAGAACTCTGAAATTCAGATCTACTCAGACAAGAAAAAACATCCAGGGAGAGGGAAAAAAACAGTCCTGTTTTGACAGATCGCCAATAACTCGAAAGAACGCAATTCTGACAGGTAAAATTCCAAATTCTTTGCTTCAAGGTCTTGATCTACAAGAAGACAAGTGACAACATTACTCTGGTAGTTTTTCAGGTTTAGTAAAATCTCACGTTAAAGTAAATTGGTTTCCTAGGCAGGTAAGTGTAATGATCCCCTCACACTGAATAAAATTTATGCAGAGAATACATAGAGTATTTTTCATCAATTTGTACTGGAACAAAAGCCAAAATGGCCTGTACATAGCCACCTAAAGAAAACAACTACTTTGGGGTTCATAAGGAAATTGGGAGAAGCGTATTAAATATTTATATACCCAGAGATATTCTGAAGTATGAAAAGTTTGAAATTTGAATTAAACATATTATTTTATATATGATTATATCAAGCACTTACTGTGGGTCACATGTCAGGTTAAAATAAAAAAGATGAGTAATATCCTATTCCTGGCTTTCACAAACCTCAAAGTCTAGCTCGGAGGAGGTAGAGACACAATAAAGTAGAATAGAATGTGGTAAGAGCTGGAAACAAGTATAAACAGAGTGCTGAGGAAGAATAGAGGGAAGAAGAAATGAATTCCTCATGGAATGGGAGAGAAGGGAGGGGTTCAGGAGAGTTTCAGAGAATCTGACCCTTGAACAGAACCTTCCAAAACGAACAACACGTCACCAAATACAGAAGACGGGGAAAGGGCATCCTAGATAAGTAAACAGCAGCCCACAGCCCACGGCATGTCTAGATACGTCCTAGTTAAGTGAAGCACCACAGAGACAATCTGGGAGGGCCTGAATTTCAAGGTCTTTGTGGGAGAGAGGGAGGCAGTTCACAACATATTTTTGAAAAGGAACTTGACAATTTCTATAACTACTCAATATAGGTATAAGACCGAGGCACAATGGACTGGAGCAGGGGAGGTGGTGCTGGCCCCCAGCATGAGACAGACTCCAGGGAAACTGAGAGCATGGCTGAGGCCAATTCTCTAGGTGTGGGGGAGGTGGATCAGGAGGCAGAGAAGCCAAAGGGCTTGGCAAGCTTAACCATGACTCAGGAATGGTCAGGACCAGGGTTGCCAGGAGAAGGAGCAGGCCCATATTAGGTGGGCAAAACACAGCACAGTATTCCAAATAATGGCCTCCAAAGGCAAATCCTGGGAATTTGTAAATGTTACCTCCTATGGCAAAGACTCTGCAGATGCAATTAAATGAAGGATCTTGAGACGGGGAGATCATTCTGGATTATCCAGTTGAGTCCTAAATGCAGTCAGCACCATGCTAATAAGAGTGAGGCAGGAGGAGATTTGACTAGAGAGAGAAGAGGAAAAGGCAAGGTGACCATGGAGGTAGAGACTGGAGTGATGCAGCCACAAGCCAAGGAATGTCAGCAGGCACCAGGAGCTGGAAAAGACAAGGAACAGATTCTCCCCCAGGCCTTTGGCAGGAGTGTGGTCCTGTGAACACCTAAATTTCTGTTGTTTTAAGCTACGAAGATTGTGGCAATTTGTCACAGTAGTGATAGGAAACTAACACACAGTGAGCAAAGAGTCATCCCCCACATGCTCTTCGCCATCACGATCACCAGTCTTGATGAGAATAACTCAGATGGAAGGCACTTCAACTATCACGAAAAAGTTGAAGTCCAGGCTGAAGCCTCAGAGGAAGGCTACATTACTAAACTGAGAAACTGGTCAAAATTTAGGTCATGGGACCCAGGTAAAAGCCCAGACTAGGGCAATACAAGATGGGTGGAAGAAATGCAAATCACGGCCACCAAATCATGACACATGGGGAAAGGAAGCTGGCTCTGAATAGCAGTAGGGGCAATTGGAGAGATACAGGAACTCAGAGGTCATCAATGGGCCACCAAATTTCTGGTCTAGGATAGCTGCTTAATTTCAAGTGTCCATTGGATATCCTGGAAGAGGCAAGAAGGGATGGCAAACATTTCCATGCACACTGGCTTGATTGGGACTAACTCAGGAACTAGATCATGACTCGACCATCAAATCAAGGACATCAGTGGATCTAGATGTGAGATTATGGAAATGAGACAGATGGGGCATGAAATGCTAAAAAGCTTGAAATGTGCTCTTTAGTCAATAAGGGAAATAACTCAATGGGATCCATTTCAGATGGGTGGGGGCAGGGTAAGGTATCCACAGTAGACTGTATAGCCCAGTAAGAAGGTGAATGAATCAGCCAAGGTTGGAGATGATCGAGGCCAGACATAAGAATGGAAAATGGTGAGGGACTAGAAAAATATTTGGAGGACATGGCAAGTGATTAGAATAGGGAATGAGTAATTGGTAGGGCATAGGGGCAGAAGGTAAATGACAACACCAACCTTTGAAATACAAAACTCAAATGAGAAAGAGTAGAGCAGACAGAATGAGTTTGTCTCTGGCTTAAGGTATGGGTAGGTCATGCTAGGGGTGACAGCCAGAAGCCAGTGGAACGCTAGGATTTGAAATTTAGAATGTCAGAACTGTTTGAATGTTTGAAAAAGTTATCTGTAATGGGCTCTTTCATCTTCTTCTTCCTGATCCATCACTATGAAAGGGATCCAAAAAAGATTTCTGAAACGTTCATATCCTAAGAACAATATTTTTGAACTATACTCATCCCACCCACTCATAAGAAAAATCTTGCATTGGCAGCACTTAAAAGCAAATTAGAAATTTTCTAAGAAGAAGAAAAAAAGGACCTACCATTAACCATTTCCCTTTTCTGTCTGTTAGTTTTGAGGACATCTGGTGAAATGGACAACAGAGAACAGCTACCCACGGATCATGGACAGTTGAGAAGGATGTTCCGTGATGACCTCAGGGATGACCCGATGATGGAAAAGGTGGCACGCTTTTTAAATTTGCAGAGGACATCAAGTTAGCCACTGCTGGAGCAGTCAATGCAGATCCTACGAAGAGAAAAAAAAACAGTATGTTCACTAATATGGACCACCTGGGAAAAGAGATGAGGAAAAATATTAATAAAGACACAGATTTACATGAGGAAGAAAATGTATGTTAATCAGATGCAAAAAAAGACTCATTTGTGCCCTACAGCTATAGATTCTATATTCCTCTTCACCAAAATGCTCAGGTGTTCAGTGCTCTATGGCAAGATGCAAGCAGCTACCCCATCTAGCATGTGATCTATGATGACTGGTGCTAGCTAAAACGTGGAAATGGCTTAGAGAGAGGAACATCTGCAAATCCAGAGTAGAGAGAGATCTTGTCAACATGGCTGCATAGGCAGACTCTGAACTCATCTCCTCCCATGAACACAAGAGGTTACAACTATTTTTGGGAAAATTACCCTGGATAGAAAACTGAAAACTGGATAAAAAGAACCCCCACAACAAGGGACAGTCCTGACTAAGGCAGAAGAGGTAGAAATTCCTTCTGGAGAGAAAAAAGCCACCTTCAGGAGCAGCGGAGTTTCTCAGCCCGCCAGGCGGGAGACACCCTAAGGTACACAGCCCTCCCTGGAGGAGTGAGGTCCAGAGCGGGGCCGATACTGCTATAAGCATCCTTCAGACTCAGCACAACTGAGACGGCGGTCTTACTATCTGGCTTTGCTGGCTGTTAACTGCAGCAGGGATACCCCCAGAAAAGCTATCAGATGAAAGCCAAAAAGACCTGGGTCTTAAAGGGCCCACGCACAAACTCACCTGTCTCAGCAACCTAAAATCACCAGAAAGAAGGCTGAGGGTCCTTTGGTGAAAAGAGCCTCACCTGGTAGGCTCTGGGTGCATCTCGGTGAGAGGAGAGACCTCTCTGGAGACCGAGACATTGGTAGTGGCCATTGTTATCACCTAGTTCAGGTGTGCTGACACAGACAAACAGACGCCATTGAAGTTCTTCCCCTGGCCTGTTAGCTCAGGGGTCTGCCACACCCACTAGAGCACAGATTTAATCCAGTTCAGCCAGGGCAGGCAGCCCACCCTAGGGACTGGCCACACCCAATAGCAAGCCCTTAGGCTACTTGTCGCCCTGCATTGACTGGGTGCCTTGATCCTCTACAGGCAGGTGAGTGTGTCTACCTCTGTGGGCCAGGGCCTGTGTGAGGACCACGTGAACTGTGGGAGCCATTGGTGGAGAGGAGGGGGCCTCTGCAGTGGGGCATTGGGGTACACTCCAGAGGGCAGCAAAGAGTGTTCAGACCAGACTGTGTTGACTGTGTGTGTGGCCCTGTGGGGGGGTGAGGCTTATCAGCAGCAGAAGACCTGTGCTTCATGAATAGCCATAAAAGGATCAGCTCCATCTTCCAAAACCTGAAACAATTGAGTGCTCCCATGACTAGGGCCAGCCCCACTCAGCTGCACTCCTAAGAGAACTGACAACAGCCTTGTAGGCCTGAGGCCTATCGCAAATGTAAGACCCTGAGCCTAGCAACCAGCTACACTGGCTACCTACCCAACTAAAAGGAAAACTGCGACAAGAGTGTGCTGTTAGACCTTGTAGCCAATGGTGCTGAGGCTCCCCAAACCAGATTTATACTCAGCTGGCCAGGGAAGGAAAGACTAGACTCTCTGGGTACCTGCATTAAGAGAAACCCTGCCACAACAGAAGGACATAAGTAGCCCAAAAAGGGGTCACTCCTAGATCATTTGGATTGGTGACGAGAGGGAAGCACACTGCTGGGCCTCAAAAGGCATCTCTTACTTAAGGCCACTTCTCCAAGATCAGGAGACATAGCTGTATCACCTAATACATAGAAATAAGCACAGAGAAAGAGGCATAACGAGGAGAGAAAAGAATACATTCCAAGCAAGGGAACAGGACAAAACCCCAGAAAAAGGACTAAATGGAACAGAAATAAGCGACCTACCCAACAAAGAGTTCAAACAAAAACTCATAAAGATGCTCACAGATATTGGAAGAAGACTGGATGAACACAGTGAGCGCATCAACAAAGAATTGGAAAATATAAAAAAGAACCAATCATAAATGAAGAATACTGGAAATGAAAAATTCACTAGAGGGACTCAATAGCAGAGTAGAGGATACAGAAAAACAGACCAGTGAACTGGAAGAAAGACTAGAGGAAATTACCCAAGCTGAACAGAAAAAAGAAAAAAGCATTAGACAGAATGAGAACAGTCTAAGGGAACTCTGGGACAAAATCAAGTGCACTAACATTTGTATTATAGGTGTCCCAGAAGGAGAAGAGAGAGACAAAGGGGCAGAAAATATATTTGAAAAAATAATAGCTGAAAATTTTCCTAACCTAAGTAAGGAAACAGACATCCAAGTACATGAAATTCCAGACTAGATAGTCTGGTAGGGGTGACAGCATGGGAAGGCAGCAAGGTATAATGCAAAGGACTGTGATATAATCCCTATCCTCAAGCAATTGTGTATGTTAAGATAAATAAGGTTCTGGGGCTGGCCTGGTGGTGTAGTGGTTAAGTTCGTGCACTCCACTTTGGTGGCCCAGGGTTCACTGGTTTGGATCCTGGGCACAGACCTACACACTGCTCATCAAGCCATGGTGTGGCAGCATCCCACATAGAAGAACTAGAAGAACTTACAACTAGGATATACAGCTATGTACTGGAGGTTTGGAGAGGAAAAAAAAAAGAGGGAGATTGGCAACAGATGGTAGCTCAGAGCCAATCTTCCTCACACACACAAAAAAAGCATATCTTTAAAACAACAACAAAAAAACTCATCTGATCCATAGCAGTGCGGTGCATATGTTGAGTCCCCCAAGTTTTGACCATGGACTCATTCTACTTTTTTTAAATTTAGTGCCTAGTATATAAACCATACTGAGGGGAAATGTAAATGTAAGTAATAATATTTGCCCTTAGGGAGTGAAAACCGATTAAATGGAAAATACAAAATACAGAAATATAAACATGGAAAACATAAAATGGAAATATAAAAAATGTGCAGGTAACGGTTAAGTATTCATACAAGGCAAGAAATGAGAGAGAGAAAATAAGGGTTATGAGCCTTGAAGCGAGGGGTATATATGAAGGAGAGTGGGAAGACACGAGCTGAAGCTCATAAGGAATGGGCAAAAGATACATGAGTGAAAATATGGGTGAAGGAGATTCCAAAGGATTGGAACGATAAAAGTTCAGAATGACTCCGATGTGATAGAAGTTATGACACTAAGCATAAAAAGTAAATTCTTGCTGTAGAGTAGAAGATGTTAAGAGCAACTGGTGGTTGGCCCAAGTGATGACGAGCTGACTGAGGCCAAGCTTTACTCAGAAGCACTGTAAGTCTTAAATCAGGAGAGAAAGAGACAATACGGGCTTTAACCAGAAAGCTACGTGGGGAAGAGAGAACAGAATTCCTGTGTCTTAGAGACTAGTCAGGAGGCTGTTACTGCTATCTGAGCATGAAGCTATGAGTTCCCGACCAGGGTAGAAGGAAAAAGCTGAAAGAGAGATGGCTGGGAAAAAAGAGAACTAATAAAGAATTTAAAAGTTTCAGTAACTGCGTGAATAAAGAAGATAAGGAATTGGGAAAGGTTAAAAATTACCTGGGATTACACCTCAGTAATCAGAAGGGTAAGGGTATCAACAAATAAGGCACTGGGAAGGAAGAAGGTGGACGTAGTTTGAGAAATGATTCTGAATTTGATGGTATAACCCAGATGAAATATCTTCTGTAGGGATCAGAGTCAATGCGAGCCCCGTAGACTGAAGACGGAGGGTAAGAAGTCATCACTCTGGAAGGAAGTTGAAATAATAAATATAGGCTTAGAGAAACCCTTCAGAGAAAGAATTCAGAGGCTACGGGATGAAAAGATTTTGGAATGTCTCAAACACACATCACAGCTTCTGATTTTAGTGGCAAACTATGAGGAAAAATTCTAAACCAAAGAACTTGGAAGTACTTCAGAGGTAAGGTTGAACTTATACAGGGAACATAATTCTCGAAATATTTCAAAGACAAACATCTAACAAGCAAGAGCCATCCTAAAATATCAAACTGTCAATTTTATGCTCCGTAATGACATTAAATAGAAGTCTATGGAATTTAACTATGTGAATAAGTTATGGTTAACTAATAACTTCATTTTAATCACATAACACCATGACAAAAAAGAAAAAACAAACAATGTCTCCAACAGGTACGGAGGGTCTGGTATTTTTAGTGCCTGTCTCCGCTTGCCATTGACAACTGCAATAACAACCACTGACATACATGTGTATGGTTTCTCAGGACCCTACACACTGAGAGCTTCAGTGTCAAAGAGCCACAGAAGGTTCTCAAACTTGGAAGGAAAACCAAATATTCTCTTGGGTTGTTGTCAAGCTTCTGGCAGAGAACACAAAGCTAGGAGTCATTTCCACAGCTGCACAGACAGACAGAGGGTTCTGGAGCTTGTCATTAATTGGGGGGGAAATGATATGGTTTCTGCATATACATAAACACATTTAACCATTAAGCCTTATCTTCCAGTTAAAAATGTCTCAGCGATCCTACTACAAATAAAAAACTTTACACTGCCCTCCTGTCTCATTTCCACCCCCTCCTGCAGTAACCCACCAAAAGTAAGAGAGAAATCATTTTTTCAAAGAATAAAATCTAAAAATAATGTCTACCATTTATTTGTTCTAGTTTATTTAGCAATAATGGCCCACATTTATTTAATACTGATTACATATCTAGTACTGTTCTAAGCTCTTAAATATGCACAAAAACCATAAGCAGTTGGTACTATTATCACCAACGGCATTTTATATAAGGAGAAACCAAGGCACAGAGAAGCTAAGTGACCCAAAATTACATCCTTGGTACGTGGTGGAGCCAAGACTTGAATCTAATCAGTAGGATTCCAGTCCCATACTCAAGCTCATGCTGTCTATCCTGTTTGTCAAATACACGCTCCAACACCACGTCTCCCATTTAAAAACAAAAAGTAAACTATTGTTTAAAGACAGTAAACATT